AAGTTCTAGCATAGACCCATGCAGTTAGGTATGATTCAATAAAATGATCAATTGGAAGATGGAGTTTACCATCTTAGCAAAGTAGATATATATACGGTAGAATTTCATCCCATCTCCTACAAGAAACAAACACCTCTTTCAAGCACCAAATTGTCTGTCTCAAGCTGATAGATCTAATCGGATGCCCTCGTTCCCACCCTGTGCATTTAAGCAAGAGCGGAGCAGAGACCGTTGTAAGACTCCTTGGCCTGGAAGCTGCCGTCGAAAAGCAGAGGAGTGGCAGCAGCGCCGATCCAAGAGTCAGTGTCGCTAACACCCCAGACGGTAACACCAACACAGTTCTCAACATCCAAGCAAGCAGTGACAGCAGTCTTGTAGTCAGCGGCAGCACCACCCTTGATGTCAAGCTCAGTCATGGCGCACTCGGAAGCAGACTCGCAGAGAAGCTTGAGAGCAGCGGGGTAGTCGGAGATGGGCCAGCTGCCGGACAAGTGGGACTGGGAACCAATACCGTCAATGGGAACACCGGCGGCAACCCACTTCTTGACATTGCTAGCCATGGCCTTGGTCTTAGCGTAGCTGGGGCTGTCGAGGTTGTAGTCGTTGATGTAGAGCTTGGCCTCTGGGTCGGCGGCCTTGGCAGTAGCGAAAGCGGTAGCGACAAAGTTCTCACCGAGAACGTTGTAGAAGACGGAAGAGCGGAAAGAACCGTCTTCGTTGAAGATCTCGTTGACTACGTCCCAAGCATAGACCTTGCCGGCGTAGGTGCTCATGAGCTTCTTGATGTGAGCAACCATGACTTCCTCGAGCTTAGTCTTGTCGGTGATGGAAGAGACCCAGGTGGGAAGCTGAGAGTGCCAGACGGTGGTGTGACCGCGGACGAGCTTCTTGTTCTCTGTGGCAAAGCTGACGAGCGCGTTGGCACCGTCGAGAGTGAACTTGCCCTCGGTACCCTCGGTGGCATCCCACTTCATGCTGTTCTCAGGAGTAACCTGGCCGAAGTTTGCGACGATGATCTCCTTGTTCTTTCCCTTGCCGAGTGCGCCCTGGTCGGTAGCAACACCGATGTACTTCTTGCCGTGCGACTTGAATGCAGCATCGAGCGAGCACTTGGCACCGTTGGCACCGGTTCCGGCAACATCAGGAGTAGAGCCGTTGGCACCGCCGGTGGCAGCAGGCTGAGCAACCGCAACAGGGGCGGCGACGGGCTCGCTAGCGTTCATCGACGGTACAGGGGCGGCAGAAGGAACGACGGGTGCCGGCGCGACGCCAGTAGCAGCAGGAGGAGCCGGGGCGTTTCCACCACCGTTGATGCACTGGCTGTACCAGTCGTTGCTCTTGACGCAAGACCAGCCTTGAGCGCACTCGGTCTCGCCCTGGAAGCCGTTACCACCGCATTGTCCGTAGGGAGCGACGGCTCCAAGGACAGCTGAAGTCGAGGAGAGGGCAACGATGCCGAAGTAGATGGAGGATCCGCGGAAATGCATGGTTGCTACTTTTCGATTGGGACGGTTCGGTTCGGGTTCAAAAGTGTTCGGTTGATGGAGGTTTGGAAAAGAAGCAAGCTTCTATGTGGGATTTCAAGAAAAGAATGTCAGGAAGCACGCTTCCAGTAGAGTCTGAAGAGAAGAAAAGATAGAGAGAGTGTGTATGTAGGGAATGAAGATGACCGAATGGAGTGAAGAAACATGATGGCGGCGGATGCGAATTCATCTTATACTAGAACAGCCACTGCTGCAATGCGCCTGGAACGATTCTGCATGGTGGGTCAAATTTGGGCGGGTAGCCGGTTCCTTGAGAGAGCATTGTTTCATGAAACCATGAAACGCCATCCTGGAGATCATTACAAGGGCAAAGATACCTCGGAAACAGAACGACTTTAACCGTTCCGCTGGTCTGACGAACGACAAGTCGACGAACAGTGGGCTGATGCGGCGCAGAGCAAAGCAATGATGTTACCTGTGGATAAGGTGCCACAATGCGACGTGACAGTAGGTCCGACATCCAGGTTCGAAGCTTCATGCGGGATCCGTGCGACCGGGGTGCCAAGCGCTAAGCCTGTCAGAGGTAGATGTCAGCTAACCTTTTTAGGAACAAACACCATGCGAACAGACGATTGTATGAAAGCCACCGGTTATCAAATGCTTCATGTTCCTTCGCTCAACAAATGGCGCCACATCACCGACAGGTTAAAGTACTCAAGCATTTCAAGCATTTCAAAACATTCTTGTATTGACTAGGTCATGATCGTCAATTTATTTCATCTATCTGATCTCCCACCATCATCCACATGGTCATATCATGACTTGTAGACATGCATGACGTGTGGGTTGCAGTACGCAAGAAGACCGGTCCTGCCCCATTCGCCGCCGATTCCAGATTCCTTGTGTCCTCCAAATATCGCTTGTGGTGTCGGCTTCTCCCATGAGTTTACAAAGACTGAGCCGGCTTCGAGGCGACGCGCAACCTTCTGTGCCTGCTCGACGTCCTTGCCCCAGACACAAGCACCAAGACCGGTGTTTGTGTTGTTGGCGCGTGCAATGACTTCCTCAAGATCGGACCATGGCTGTGTGGGCACGATGGGACCGAATGGCTCTTCTTGGATGATGCGGGAGTCGTTTGGTGGGTTGTCGATGATGGTTGGCTTGATGAAGTAACCCTTTCCGCTGCCGACGTCGGGCTCACCAGCGGCGAACTTGTAGCCCTTGGCTTTGCTGTCGCTGAAGTATTCCTTCACGCGCTCGTACTGCATCTGATTCTGAACAGGTCCGAGCAGGTTGTCGCCGTCATCTGGACCTCCAATCTTGATGGACTTGGTGAAGTTGACCATCTCTTCAAGGAACTCCTTGTAGATGGAGTCGTGAATGTAAATTCGCTTGGTAGCGACGCATACTTGGCCGCTGTTCTGGAAGGCACCCATGACGATCTCGGGTGCTGTCTTCTTGATGTCGACATCAGGAAGAATGATGGAGGCATCGTTGCCACCCAGTTCGAGTGTGACGCGCTTGAGGGTCTTTGCAGATGTCTCCATAACCTTCTTTCCGGTAGCGATAGAGCCGGTAAAGCTGATCTTGGCAATGTCGGGGTGCTGGCACATCTGAACACCGAGCTCGTTGTTGCCGCCAACTACTTGGAGAACGCCTGGTGGCAGAATCTCCTGAGCTAGCTCGACAAACTTCAAAGCCGTGTAAGGTGTAAAGGGTGAGGGCTTGACAATGATGCAGTTTCCGGTCATGAGAGCTGGCGCGACCTTTCCGGTGCTCAAGACGAGAGGGAAATTCCACGGGCAGATGGCACCGCAAACACCGAGAGGCGTGTACTCTGTGTAGATTGTCTTCTCATCATCCTCAAACTTCTCAGATGGCACATCAAGTGTCAAGTGGTGACCGATGAATCCAGCAACGGCACCAACCTCGATGGCAGCGAATTTTCTCTGCTCGCATGTTAGCACAACGCTCGGAATATTCTAGTGATTGTTGCAACGTACCGGCTTGCCAGACTCTTTGCACAGTAGGTTGACGAAGTCATCGTTGTGTTGCTGGTATGATTCCACAATCTTGTTGAGCAGCTCCTTCCTCTTCTCAATCGGGGTATCTCTCCATGCGGGGAACGCCTTCTTCGCAGCCGCAACTGCGTCATTCAGGTCTTGCTCGCTCGCAATTGGTACGTCCCAGAGCTCCTGACCAGTCGCGGGATTGATACCATGGTGAATCTTGTCTGAGCTGCGCTGCTTGCCATCGACGATGTTATAGAACGTCTCGAAATCGAGGGTTGAGACTTTTCCCGGAGACATATTGGTGTTTAATGTAGTAGGCTATGGAGATATGATGATGTAGGTATTGGTTTGTCCGGTATGGGCACGACGGGTGAGGGTGCCTTTAAACAAGTCGAGTCGCCACATTCGTGCGACTACCTCGCTGCTTGCCTCATCCTCGGTAGTCAATACGCTTGCTGTATGGTGGCACATTCTTGGTGGGTTTGTAGCATCTGGCTTTTCTTGGCTGCGACCCTCGACCCCACTTGCAGCAGCAGAATCGCGGGGCTCGAGTAGCAGATTAGGCTTGCATCGTCCATTCCCCAGTAAAATCAATTGGCTGAGCTTTTGCGGATTTTAGGGTCGGGGCTTAGCGGGTGGAGGTGTTGCCCAGATGAGCCGGCGATTAGTCCATCACGAGGTCGTCATCATCCGAGGTAGGGTCTTCACGGTACGGGTGATATGCTAAACACCACTGCCGTCTGCCCAGCATCATGTGCATCGGGTGTGTGTACATGCCGCAACACCCCGCCGGAGCCATTTCGGGGTCTTCCGTCGAAAAGTGGATTACTCTCACTAACAGCGGGACCAGCATTTGACATGGCTGGAGCTGGGTTCCAACAGCGCGACTGCAAAAGTCTTGACTAGCGTTCGATGTATCGACTTTCAGACTAGTTTGCCCAGTTTGTGCCCAGTTTACGCCTTTCGCAACGGACGAACCTCTTCCCGAGTACCCTGTGGAATTTCCTTGTGGATCACTAAAAGGTTTCAGCATTATAGTCGAAGCCGGGGCTCCTCGTATCGACCTACCTGGGTATGATGATCACGTTAGTGAAGCGGGTCATGCAGTCTGGCCGCTATCGCCAACGTCTGCATACGTCTTGCTGAGACAACAAGAGATGGGGTCGTGGATAAGCAATGGCAGGGCGATTAGAGCGTCGCGGAAACGGTTTGGGCGATGAGTTGATGTTGAAGGTCTACAAGAATAAGATGTTCTTGTGTCAGCATACGCGCCACATTTTCTGCAGATCTAGGTACGCCGTGGAACGCCTTATTGGTCACAGCGTCATGCGTCGAGTAACATGCAAGTTACACAAATATATGCAGAATTACCGATAAGACGCATATGCACAGTCAACAAAATTGTGAGCTCTCGCAATCAGGAGAAAATTTGATATCTTGACTTGGCACCAAGGACGATCTACAACTACAGGCTCCACCACGATGCTTTCTTACACGTACACTACTAGCATTTTCTCCACTGAACGTACAAATTCGACGTAAAGCGACCCGCCTCGCGCGTTGCAGCGAGCACACCATTAGCCGGTGTAGCAAATGGTGTTAGCGCTACTTCGCTGTTGATGTTGAAAAGGGCATCACCACCGCAGGGTGACCAGACTGCAGCCGGCACGTTATCCTGCTTGTAGTATTTGCCATGGAACGGACCGTCGATGCTGAGTTCTGACGACGACTGGCTTTGCTGACCAGAGACGTAGTACGTTGACTTTACGACACCAGTGACACCACTATCAAGGTCGCCCCAACCGGTGTAGTCCGCGCTGAAGATGGCGAAGGAGAAGCCAGGGGAGAATTCGAGACCGAGGTTGATTTGGCAGTTCTTTCGCGAGTCTTCTGCCGTCTTCCCGGTGCCGACGCGGGCTGTGAATTGTTGGTTGAAGTCTGCATGTGATAATCAATACGAGAACGAGGATGAGTAAACCAGTGTAATGGAGGCTTACAGATGGGCAAGATGCCATTGTCAGTCCAGTTGATATCGATACTGCCTTGGGGGCAACCCGAGCCGCCAGAGACGACTTTAGTGATCTTGAATGAGTCGGGTGCTTGATTAGTCGGAGCAGCGATCGTTGTCGCCGCAAGGGCTATGGCGGTAAGTGTGTACTTCATCGCGGTGGTGTCTCAGCCTTGTTTCTGACAAACTGGGAAAAAATTAAACAATGTGGTAAGCGAATGCTAGATGATGATTTTCTGGTCAAAGTGTAGTGCTGCTATTCACCAGAGCAACTGTGGGCCACGACCATCTTATATGCCCACGTATTGTCCGAGTACGAGACCTAGAACGCAAGCAGTACATTCTTCACCACACATACTCTAGGAAGCCCTTTGTAAAGACCATAGAGTCTTGTGGCCGGTAGGAGAAGTTTGCTCATTGGCCACATACTCGTGGAGGACGGCGATAGATGGCCACTCGCTACCAACCGGAAACCTTGCATTCATTTGCTGTATTGCTAGTTCGGACATGGCAACGAAGCTGGTAAGGTTGCCATGTTCCTGATATGAGATCTGCCCGTCGATATTGCTCGTAGACTTCTTTACGAGACAGCCGAGAAGCAAGCGAGAACGATAGCCGTCGAATGCAGGGCAATCATGCTCTAGAACATGTCGAGTCTGGGGTAGGGTGAAGACGATTGAGAAAACTCCAATCCAAAAATAGTCATTGTGGAAATTATTGTAGCGTGACAAGTACTAGGCGGGTGCGGCAGAGGCAAATGTTGTATATATTAGATTGACAGACCCGGTCGAGGTCACGAACCAGAAGCGCGACGGCTGATTATGGGCTGGGCTTTCTGGGGAAGCTTTAAGGTTTTAGCGAGCGAGTGAGATTCTTAGACTTGTTTTGACTAACGGAACGGACATGTGTATGTGGGCAAAAGTCGTTGTTCTAGAGTTCGTATGGCTCATCAATGGCAATATAGGTAGTGCTCGTTGTTTGTCCAGTGTCATGTTGTGCGTGGTACTCTTGGGCCGAAAGGTGAGCAATGCTGGTACTAGTGCACTGTAGTCCAGGATACGCGTCGGGTAGGAGGCGACGAGATAAAGGGTCAAATGGTTATTGTAGGTGCATGATCTGGATAAATAGATTGGGAAGTCGCGACAGGGCATGAGCGTCCAAATCGGTACATCCGGGAGCCGATAAGACAAGAAGCATCAGGTAGTAGGTTCAAGAATAATACAATATGATAATTGTATGCAGCAGTAATGTCGCTATGTAGCCCTGGTATCTCCCTTTCCAAATGATCCCAAAGCCGCTTCCGTGATCTCCTGAACACCGTTGTAATACATTACGTTAATGAAAGTGTTGCGCCGAATCTATGCTGAGGTATCGTGATAAAACAAATCGCTTATTGATCAAATGGGAAAGACCTTGCGGAACACACGCCGCCACTTTGGCACATTTTCTTCTTCTTCTTCCACGTCACTAGCAGGCGCATGACGGGGACCAAGCATAGCCAATGCTCGTTGCCGTGCCCATTCTCGTCTGTTATGAGTAGGACTACAGTCTTGTGGATTTTGTGAAGTTGGTGCACTGGCCGGCTGAGGTTGTGGTGGGGCATCAGGTGGCGGCGTAGTGGCCATCTCGATATCATGTGGTCGTGACTGCGTCCGCTCAGGTGCGCTGAAGATACGTCGACCAGAGATAGCTCCGCCTATCCTGTTGCCAAGCGACCCAAAAGCGGCCGCTGGGCGCGCTAGTGAAACTGGCACTGTTGAGGGAGGTGTGGATACGGAACTTGGTTGGGTGTTTGCTGTATGAGCACTGCGCGCTCGCATGCGATTTATATGGCGCTCTCGCCGTACCATGACGTTGGTAATATTGACCGGACAAGCACCTGTAGGCAATACAGTTTGTTTGCACATGGGACATAACGATGAGTGATTGAGGAGGAAGGTATCGATGCACTCAGGATGGAAAATGTGGTGGCACGGAAGCTCGCGCACTTGTGTTTCGTCGACTTCAAAGTCATCCATGCAGATTGGACATGTGGGCTGGGACCATGATGCAGACGTACCAGACGTGGGTACTGTAGGTATCGTGGGTGCAGACGAGTGGCGGAGCAGCTGAGGTCCCTTGTAGCCAGTTTCAGCATCTACGGCGGCGTGTGGGAGATCGTGTGCGTGGTTCGGCGCTTGTGTAGCGGTGGTCTTCTCAGGCTCGTTCGAAGCAGCAGCAGCAGCAACGGCGGGAGCAGTGTGTGTGTGTATGGGTAGTTTGTCGAGAACTTGTTGCGAGACTGTGAGACGCTTGACGCCCAATGCTTCGAGATCGACCTGGCCGTTGAGAACGCGCTCGCGCAGGTCGTTGCGCCGTCTTCGTTGGATGATATGCATGACGAGAGAAGTGATGCTGACAGCCACGAGTAGGACTGCTAAGACGATGACGAGGAAAACCCATAGGCTTGGGAGTTGGCCACCAGAATCAGTACTGACGGTTGCCCACAAGCGCACATAGTCGGTGGAATCGTATATCTGCGAGAGTTGATCGGCATGCGGTACCTGGCTCAAGTTTCCAGAATACTGGTCCAGCTGCTCCATGATGTTCCTCCCCGTCATTGAAGACAGCGCATAGGTGGGAAAGTCATTGGCCGTCTGCCAACTACCGCCATCTTGAAGGTTCCACGCCGCATCGTTGAGCACCGGTGGTTTGGCGTTGCTGTCTCCGGGAAGGTAGGTGAGAAAGGCTTTGGTGGGATGGTTGCGCGCTGCGGTGAAGTATTCGATGGTACACTGCGCCGAGTACCAGGGTGCGACGGCGATGAGTGCGTAATCCTTGTCGGACGGGAGATTGGCTATCCGTGTCGCATTCTCGAGGACGTAGTCTGCCTCCTGTTGCTTGCAGCCAGATGTGTAGACATCAGGTACGTAGAGTATGCCGTAGGGGTCTTGGTTGCCGTCGACGCCTTTGGTGGACAAGGTCTGGATGTTGTTGAGGATGCGGTACTGGAACGAGACGGAATCGTTGAGTGTAATGAACTGGTTGTTGTCGTAGTCGATGCGAAGAGGGTCCGGGAAGTCGATGGTAAAGATACCAATCCTTTGGGCAGCTGTGCGACAGTCAGCGTGCGGTCAGCGAGTTGGTGCCAACGGGCGGCAAAGTGGTGTGACGTACACATGGTGGGCGACACTGGACGATTACACAGGGGCCGCTAATGTGAGCCAACTACAATTCATTGCCGGCAGTCGTGTGGGAAGGCAGTGTGGGCGCAAGCAGGAGGGTATGCAGAGGAAAGAAGAGAATGGCGTGGCTGTGGGTGGTTGCAGCGGTGGTTGTAGAGCGGGAGCGGGTGGCTAGGAATGAAGGCTGGTCGGCTTCGTCAACACTGCCGCCCCTCCCGGATGAGAATGGAGAAGCGCCGAGCTTAGCAAAAAGCTTGTTTCCCTGGCGCGAACAGGAGATTGCGTCAAGAAGGGCAGCATAGGATGGATGCAGGCCCCACTGGACTGGACAGTTGGAGAGGATGCCGTTGTGCATGAATAGTGCCCTGCTCGTCGGTAATGACGTTGACATGGTCGTATCGCAGACGGCACGCCTTTCGCGACCTTGGCGTCTGTCTTCAGGGCTAGCACGAGCCAGTTCCCCAGACGGCGAACAACACCAACAAACGAATGCGCCGGCGATGCGACAATCCAAGACGCCTGCTACCATCCTGCTGCATACCTGCCCTTGGCTAGTCTAGCGCCTGCGACATCTCTCTGCCAGCTCTCAGACGTCGGCCGCCCATCTCGCGTCGTGGACGCGACTGACTTTCTCCCCCGCATTCCATAGCGACGACGACGCTCGTGGACGCGCAATATGGCGCCTCCAGGCGTGAGCAGCAAGGGCAAGGCGACCAAGCCCGGCAAGCCCTCGCAAGCACCGCGCAGCCGAAACACAACGCCGCTGCCCAACGTACGCACTTCGGTCGAGCCTTCTTCCTCTTCGTCCTACTTTGGAAACCGCCTGAGCTCCTACCTCAGAAAGAGCCCCAAGACAGTCGAAGACATACTCGATGGGGGCGCCAACGGCTCTTCCATTCCGACCGGAAAGCTGTTGTTGTCCATGCGCGACGACATCGAGAAGACTGTGCTGAAGAACGTCGAGTCACGCTGCGTGCAGTCCGAAGGTGCGCTGCGGGAACTCATGAACAACAAGAAGAACCGGGCGCCGCGTGAAAGGGAAAAGGACAAGGATGGCGAGGAGCGCGAGCGCAAACATAAGCTCAAGAAGGTGAGCAAGAAACACGACGAGGACGGGAAGCATCCGCCTGCGACCGGTGCCCACGGCCTGGCCAGGCAGGACGGCGGTGACGGCAAAGGTGAGTTTGATACCAGGCAATCACATTTCCCTTGGGACTTTACATATACGATCCCTCCTCGTATACACTACTTCGAATACCCTCCAACATGGCTCCTTCCCAACAGCAGTTGATCGTCAAGCTCAACATGAGAGGACTTCACAGACATCTAACCACGTCTACAGACAACTCCTCGGCCATCTCATCGCCAATATCGCAAGCCCCGCCCTCCGCTGCTGGCAATGGGCCGGCGGATGCTCCCTCGCCCAGTGGCTCTGATGTCTCTCACCAGCCCGCCCCTGCCCCAGCCGTACCGCAATTCCAGACTTTCGGTCCTGACCCCGCCAAATTCGATGACCCTACCGTATACCATATACGCGAGGTTACACCAGGCATGTCGATTGAGGAGAGAAAGGAGATATACTGTGTCGCCGAATTCCCCAAGCACGATCTCCGTGACAGGATAGCCGGTTCACCACCAGCAAAGGACTTCTCCAATGCCAAACCGCCGTCACAGGTCAATGCCACCGTCTTCGCCAACTACGTTGAACCATACATAAGGCCGCTCACCGAAGAGGACGTGGCATTCTTGAAGGAGCGCGGAGACCGTATAGCGCCATTCGTGCTGCCTCGACGCGGCCAGCGACACTACAAGGAGATATGGGCCGAGGAAGATGGCTCTATGCACATAGACTCGAATGACCAACGACCACCACCCAACGTCCCACGTGGAGCAGCAGAGGACATCTCAGACGACGTGCTTGAGACAGATCAAGTGTCTACAGGGCCCCTCCTGTCGCGTCTCCTAGCTACATTACGACCAGAGGGACGCGGTAATCAGAGCGGCCAGAGCGAAACTAATGGAGTCAATGGAGACGCCATGGATATTGATGAAGGCGCAGGTGCGCCTGCAGACACGGCCAACACGAATTCGATACCCGCCGCCGCCCAACTTCCCGACCTCGTTCAGCCGGGCTGGAAACCTCCACCACAGACTGGCCGCACCGACTATGTCGGCATGGAGGACCGCGTACTAATGGAGCTGAAGCACTTTGGCCTGATCTCCGAAGCAGACGCAGAGTCGCAATCATACGATTCTCATTTCGATGACGAAGTAGCCCAACGCCTCCGCTTTCTACAAGAAGAACTCCGCAAGCAGTCCATCATCAATGGCGCACGAAAACAACGCCTTCTCGAGCTCACAGAAGAGCGCATAGCTCAGCAAGAGTACAACACTATAGCCGACGATCTCGACAACCAACTCAACGCCGCCTACCTCAAGCGTAACCGCAATATTGGCAAAGGCAAGAAACAAAACAAGCGGCCGGGTGGTGCAGGAGGTGGAAGCCATCCAGTGGCTAACGCTGGCATTTCGAGGCCGGGCGTGGGCGAGCCAATTCGCACTCTTATGGAAAGAAGACAACAATGGATCAACACGATAGGACCTGTTGTCAACTACGGAAAGACTGGTTTGCCAACCGAGACCATCTTCGGGGAAGAGAAGATGAAAGAGCTGGAGAACAGGGAGGTGGAGATCTGGAATACAGAGGCCGATGAGTAGGTTTCCCGGCACGTGCAAACTCAATTGGAGCAGGATGATGCTAGGCGTAGGGCTGAAGCGTCGGCCTTGTTGAATGCACATCCAACTGTTGAAAATGACGATACTTGATGGCGCAAAACAGACACACCCAGGTGGGAATTGCCTGTGGTCAGTCTTTCGGGCATAGCACGGCGTAAAGGTATCAGGATCACACATGTGATCTGAGGTTATTGATTGGACTTGCATAAGACTGTATTCAAAAGTCAGGCGTTAACAGGTTGGCTAGCCTCTGGACATTTCAGAGCCGCTATCTTACCTTTTTCGATTGAACACTACCCATGGCTATTTGCTCACCAGCTTCCCACGTGTATAGATGACGCATGCATGCAGTTCACGAGATTGGTGAATATCGAAATCGCTTCCAACCATCAAGATAGAAACCTGGCTGACCACGTTTTTAACCGGCGTCAAAAGATGGTTGCGGCGTGCGTATTGGGGCTGTGTCAAGACTCTTCGAGCGAGCGAATGACAGTAGGGTGCTCGCTTATGCTTTTGGAAGCTACCCACTTGCGTTGACTCAATGGGGTTTGTGAACTCGACATGGCAACTCAGATCTATCTGACCTGATGATCGATTCAGGTCAGGACGCACTATTGCTATAGAAGTCAAGCTTTGGGCCATTGATAGTTTCTACGATAAATCCTATGGACGAATCGGTAACGCTGTTAGGTTCCTAACTACTACAAAGTCAACTGAGTTGTTGATTATTCGTTGTATGGAGGTTGGAAAGCCCCGTTATGCGACGTGTGATTGGATAGCCTGTCTCCACGGTCAGACACCACGGACTCATGAATCGTATCTCTTCAAGCCTGATCCGCAGAGCCGCATCTAATCTCTCCCAAGACCCTCGATTGGGAAGTAAGGTCGTCCTCTTTAGGTTATCTGATCCATGGACCAGTATCACGACCTGCATATAGCAACGGATTGCTTCGCCCTGCGCAGTAACGTTCGCAAGTGGACAGAAAATACACATAGACTTACCACCTTGGTGTAAGTGTGCCAGGGCTTTCTAGCGATATGCAGGATAATGTCTGTAGGAGCATGATAGAGACGCGCAGGCGGTAGGAGGGTGTGCTGCCCAGTGACATGGGAAGTTATTTTGAGCTGCAGGCGGTGCTTGCCCAATTCGGCTAGCAGAACGCTAGCCGTGGGGAAATCAGGGAGGGCAGTCCTACACTGCACGATCGATCAATCGAACGAACAACGCACAGGTACCTGGATACCTTCCGTTCCTTCTTATTCTTCAAAGTATGCCATGCACTTGAGTTACCTGTACGGTACTTATTGAACACTGTACTCGCTACTTGGGGAGCGGGTGCGGCAGCTTATCGCAATGGTGAGCGCACTCAGAATACTCAAAACGACACACAACCACCATAACTGCCTTCACTTCGGTTGCCGTCCGCTTTGGATCTCTTACCTTGGTAACAGACTATCCAGAAAACGCTGAAAAGTAGGTTATGCAGGTCTGTAAGCACAGTGAGGCTGACACATCGGCCGCTCATTGGACGTTGTGTCTGCACAGATACCAAAACATATTTTCTCTCGCACAGCCCGCCTTACACCTGCATGAGGCATGAACTATTCTGCGCAATCCTCCCCACCCACCAATACACCTCAAGAACGTGGAGTCAAGGATCAGGATAGCTGCAGCCGCTGTTGCGGCCAACAAGCATGCGTTATGCAGTGAACAGACCTTATTGAGGCATGTGTAGGTGGCTTGACGGGTAGCAGGGTATGAGGGCTGAGACATGCGGGTGCGCTAATCATGGCAGATGGTAATACTGCGATGTAGGTCTATGCAGCAGATCCAAGATCTAAATCTTACCTACACCACAGTGATGGATCCGGGTAAGGCAAGTATCGTAGGATGCTGGTTAATATATAAAGGCGGTGGAGTGCTCGAGAGCTGGACTTGGCTACACATGGCTGGTAGTACAACGCTCAGCTTACTCTCTACTCGACACCGACTCTTCGAAAGAGGCTGCATAGTCGACTATAATGTCTATTGCATCACGGCCGTTTCTTTGGCGTTCACCAGTCATAATCGATAACAAAAAAACGTCACTCAACATGTCTTCACCTACATCAGCACCGAAGACATCCACACCTAGGAAAATCAACAACCTGAAGCTCAGAGCTTCATGCGACTCTTGCGCTGCGTCAAAAGTCAAGTGCAGCAAAGAGCATCCGATCTGTGCACGATGCTCCGTCATCAACTCGACATGTATATATGGTGTTTCGAGAAAACACGGAAAACCAGGCCGGACGAGGAAGAGAAACGCAGACGGAACTCCGTTCGTCAAAGCCGCGAAGCAGTGTCTATCTCCAGGGAGCAGCGAGTTCAGTTTGTTCAGCCTCCAACCGGAACCTACCCTTCAACAGACGGATCTAGAAATCGCATCGAATTGGGCCTCTGACTGGTCGCCTACACCAAGCTTGTCAGCCACTCCAGGCTTCGAGTTCGAAACTGTACCAGAATTATCATACGCAAGCGACGTTCATTCAGACACGACCCATATTGATAATACTGTTCTACCAACACAACCAGCTCGACCAGGACCAGGATCGACCATCGAATTAAACCGTCTCTTCCGAGACCCGTTCACAGAGGAGCAAACAGCGCAATCTGACCACTCTAGTTGGCAAGCTCTTAGAGAATACATAGGCGGCAATGACATAAACCCCATGGACTATTACTCGACCGGCCCAAAGAACGCAGAGCATCTACGTTCCGTCTCTTCCGTCTCCATACCATATAGCCCGATCAGTCAAGCTACAGGGACGAATGATGCAATGGCACCATATTTCAACTCCTCGATGGACAACTTTCATTGCTGCTATACATCGGCCTACTCAATCCTTGATACTCTGAGGCACGTCAGGCATACACATCCGGCATTTACCAAGGGTCCGTTCGAGGCTGTTCTCCTGACTTCTCAATCAGCCATAAGGAACGTTTTGGAGCTTCTTAATTGTCCTTGCTCGTCAGATCCACACCTCGCTATGCTATACTCAAGTATAACATCCAAGATTCTGACCTGGTACCAGACTGCCGCTGGTGTACACCCTCCTGTCCAATCCAGTACCTTGGTATCAGCATCGTTTTGTTGGAGCAACAGCCAGTCATTACGCTCTTCGCAGCCTGCTTTTCCAACTCCATCTGTGCCGAGCATCATTAAGGGTGAGAGCTTCGATCCGTACGTGCAGCAATCTCAGCATCAACACTACGACTTTGAAGACCTTGAGCAGCAGAACTGCAGAAGACAGGTGATATTGCTTGAGCTACAAGGTTGTGAACAACTCGTCAGGGCACTAGCTAATTGGGGAGGGAATAGCGCGGCCTGCGAGCAAGCAGAGCACCTGTATAACATACTAGGCAGATGGTTGAAGACCGAGCTACACAAAACAGTCAAAGGCATCGAGAGCAGGAACTCTCAGTCGGGTTGAGGTGCTCCAACGGAATGAAGTTATGAATTGAACGAGGGGATGCATTGTAATCATCATGCTTTCAGGTGGCTGGTAATTGTCAGACTCGATAAATAGTAATCATAATCAAACAATTCTGAATTTGCGAAGCTATAGCATCGGTGAAGCTTATTCTGGTCTGTTCTCGGCGTATAGTTCAAGAACACAATGAAGATAACATTAGTGGCGGTGTTCATGAGCTACTGTGGAGCCACACCCCGGATTACCCCAGTGCACGTGGCACGTTCACATGCCTCGGCTCAAACCGCAGCCAGCCTCATAGCACTTACTCACATGCCAGCCAAGTACACCATTACTAGACCTCCGCCATCGACTTTACGATTGGGAAATGAAAATCTTCCTAGGGAGGATGTACACGGTCAACCATGGCCGCCCAGTCCACCTTACGCCAGCCTCATGACCCTCTCTTAGCACTCTACGACCATTATGCGACGCGCCTCAAGTCCCGCGTCCGCAGCGCTTCGAAGGTCACGAAGCTTCTGACTACCATCACCCTTCTACTCACCATAATAGGCGCAGGATATGGAGGTACCCGATGGTACAAGAGCCGACATGCAGAGAAAGAGACTGGCCGACGCTTGCTGAGGAGGAACTCCGGACTCAAGAACAAAGACGGCTCCAGGACAATATACGTTCCCTACCGCGACTCGACGTCCAAAGTAGTCATCCATCCCACCAAACAAACCACATTCGATGCTCATCGTAGACTTTTCCTCCAGCCCCCACGCGCAGCCCGCATGGCTGATACCACGTCGAGCGATCCGCAAGCGCCGCCGCCACAAACGAAGCCGGGTCTCAATCTGGCTTTCCTACACCAGTTTCTAAGCCTGTTGAACATCATGATACCACGTTGGAACAGCAAGGAGACGGGTCTCTTGGTCAGCCATAGCGTCTTCCTCATGCTGCGGACATATCTCTCCCTCGTCGTAGCGCGCCTCGATGGAGAGATCGTGCGCGATCTCGTCGCGGGCAATGGAAAGGCTTTCTTGTGGGGTATAGTCCAATGGCTGGGTGTAGGCACATTTTCCTCGTACACGAATGCCATGATCAAGTTCTTGCAGAGCAAGGTTTCCATCGCATTCCGGACACGGCTCACGAGATACATTCACGACTTGTACCTGAACGATCACTTGAATTACTACAAGCTCCAAAATCTGGATGGAGGCGTAGGAGCTGGAGCAGACCAGTATATCACGCAAGATCTGACATTGTTCTGCGCGAGTGCCGCGTCGTTGTATTCGAGCCTGGGAAAACCGTTTGTGGATCTATGCGTCTTCAATTACCAGCTCTACCGTTCTCTGGGACCTCTGGCTTTGACTGGTTTGTTAAGCAACTACTTCCTCACAGCGACAGTGCTACGGAAACTCTCTCCACCATTTGGCAAACTAAAAGCCGTCGAAGGTCGAAGAGAAGGCGAGTTCCGCGCACTGCACTCTCGTCTCATCGCGAACGCCGAAGAAGTCGCTTTCTAC